CTAATGTAGTTTGTTTCTCAACCAGTTTTGGCAAGAGCTGCATGTCAGAGGTCAAAGGTTGCATGAAGTTGGAAAGTTGCTGCTTGGCCACCTGTTTGTGCTCACTGTTTCCTAGGTCTTGAGTTCCTATCAATGTCAAATGACAACCCCATACGTAAGAGGGATGAGGTCAGGTTTGGTCTAAACTTCAGTTTGTTTGTGCTCGGAAGGAGGCCGTCAGTGATGGCACAATCAGCTACAGCTGGGGCATTTCTATTCATCATCATTGGCCTATATGGCTACATGACAACACGTAGCCATATAAGGCCAACGACGTCACCAGAATCCCCTTTGTGTTCATGTTTGCCCCGGCTGCAGCTGATTTGAGCCGGCACAGACAACTTCTTTTAGGCCAAACCTGAGCTCATACCTAGTAATTAATAGAAACATAAACAACAACAGGGCTCTGATATATGATAGACTTTGTTCAGATGGATACATAAAAACAGACGTTTAGGTGTTCTGAGCACTGCCAAGAGCCCCGAATCACTGCTAGGGATATGGGATAGATGAGTTTACTGAGCAATGAAGGTGGTTGGTAGTTGCTTCAGCTTGCTGCTCTTCTGCATCCAGTGCTAAAGCGTTATAAACACTCAGAAGCTGGGAGACAGTCTTTGAGTTTAGCTAATTCAGCAGGGCAGCAACTATGGTGTGATCCCTAACTCTTAAAGTGGATTGTCAGAAGACTGAAGTTTCATATCCTTGCATGAAACCATGGTTTTCTTTAAACCTAATCTGATCATAGAAAGATTGTTCTGTAATTGGCATACACTGAACTTCTATTGTATGGTAACGAAGCACCTTGTCATTGAAGACCCCACAGAATACAATTGACTTTCCTCAAGGATTAAACTTTGATTACCATCATGTACCACAACCACACGGATCCCCTAATAATTGCATACGAGTTTCAAATTTGCAACCAAGCCACTTTATGTACTATATTTATTTTGTAATCTATGAATCTATTTTTTTGTAACATATATTTGTAAACAGAAAGCATTAAAAGAACTTGTACTGGTCAACAACATCAGGATGAGAGCACACAAGACCCGATGGTTCAGAACATGAACATTTAAGATTGACCATAGCGGATTACCTCAAACATCTTCAGAAAACTGATCAGACATGATCGGATCATCTCAGAGATATAATATTGTGGAAATTGGGTGAAGATGAATGTTTGGATCAAGAGCGCAAACGTCAAAAGAGAGACAACCAGGATCCGGATTGACAACCAGACAATCCGGGTCACGGCACCAAAAACAAAAGAGAGACAACCAGACATGAAGCTCACATCTTGATTTGTACTTCAATGACATTCATTGTCATCTGCTAAGACTGGACAATTCTACCTGTGATTGTAATGGAGTGGTCTAAATCTTTTTGTCTAATAATAATTATATTTTTGGGAATCAACTGTTCTCACATGTCTACAGCAGAGTCTATGATGCATGTTAAGCAGATATGTGCTCACTGCCGACCCACTAAGCTTGCTCTGTTCTGTTCAGTCAGTCCTTAGTTTGGACTGTATTTTCTGTCCCACTTGACTGATTCGTGCTGAAGAGGGCGACCACACTTTCTCTCCCTGCAGTTACTACTTTGTGTGGTCCTTTCCCCCAGCTCCTGAAACTGCCTCTATGCCAGCAGCAACGCTGGGCTTGTAGATTGGGGGAGATACAACTTAGTGCAGATGCAACCTTTAAACTTGTCCAGGGAGAAACAAAGGAGAGGCTGTTGCTGCCCTCTTTTTTAACAACAATAAATGATTGGCTATAAGGAGGACCTACCAACTTTATTATATGAATCGCCAACCAAAAACAACTACACAGATCACAAAAATCTGAAATTGTTATTTGCGTTTTTGTTGCCAGTCCACAACTTCTTATCTGGTCATTTGACAATCTCGTATAAGCTTTAACGAGTCATTTCCAAATGAGATGGTGGCGCATGCATGATGACGACACTGCGGGGTGTCACCCGGTCTAGAGACCAGGTGACACCTGACTTCGGGACGCCCCTGCTCCAAATTGTACACCTGTGTGCTCACATTGTCACACGCTCTGTCAATGGAGACTTCAAGTGTCCGTTACATAGACATGGCCAACTGTTGTCACCATCAGGAAACGCTCCCTGAGAAATCCCATCTCTGGAGGGCAGATAGGCAGGAAGAGGCTGCGGGAGATCAGCAGCACTGAGATGCAATGAAGGCTGAAAACAGTAAATAAAAAATCAGGCCTTTGATGATTTAGAGACAGCGTTGTAGCAAACTAAATGACATTCAATTAGGGTTTATGTAAAGGGGGGTCAGTACAGCAGCCAAGTCCTTAGGACTTTCAGGAGACATCAGCA